CTACACCAGCTTGCCTTGGTCTCCTATTTTATCTTCATCATTCAATAGATAGTTGCTGAGCACCCGCCGTATACCAGGAGCTAGGGAGGCACAGGCTCTGCAGATGAAGGAGGAGCAAGCTTTGCCTTCAATGAGCCAATACTTTCTGAAATTTTTCATCCAACTACACAGCAGGAAAGAGAAAAAGGAGAATCAAAAATAGTATTCTGTCCTGGGCGGTGGGCAGAAAAAAATTTTCATGTCTGGGTGGATTCATGTCCACGCTGGAAAAACACACACAGATCTGGTATGCAGACATCTGGAGGGCAGGGTGGGGCAGGGTGCAGAGGGAGCGCCCCAAAGTCAGCTCTGACAGGAAGCTGGAAGACACAAATCCCAGGGCCACAATACAGTGCCAGTGTCACCCTTCAGTTCTGCCCGGCAGGACTGCTGATGTTTTCATTTTGTTTATTTTTCTAAAGTTAAGAGGGACGAGGAGAGGAGGGGTAGGAGACAAGTGATTACTCAGCATTCCCATCGCATTTCATGTTTGCAAAGTACTTTCCTGCCCTTGCCTCGAGCTGCCTTAAATAATAAAGGAATTTGAGAATCCAGCCAAGAACTCTAAGTGCTTAGCAGATACAAGGACCTATCACGGGGCATCTGGCAAGGTAGGCACGATTTTAAAAAGTAATCCCAGAAAATAAACATTATTGAAAAACATAATCCAATATAGTAATCTCTCTGTCAAGCTGACCTGCCACTTGGTGGTTAATGAACTTGGTAAGCTCACGATGCAGACTCGAGTGTTCTCAGTCTCCCTCCCCTTCACACCTTAACATGTGCTTACTTTTAAAAAACAGGCACTGACATCCTTTGAGAGGAAAAAGTTCTATGGCTGATGCAGCAAAAATGTTATGGTAGCAATTAAGAAGAGCAGTTTCTTGCTGGCAGGACTACAGCATCTGGACCATCGTAACTGAGGAAATTAACCATTTTTGTGTGACTGTCAAATGGGTCAGCACATCCTACAAGCATATCATAGTGTGAGCTGTAATATACTAGAAGCACTGTGGGTTTTGGACTGTTTGGACTCAAGTGCATGGTATTTGAAATGAATGTAAATGTGTTTATATTTATATTCAACTAAGCTCAGTGACCCCCTTAGCTTGGTCCACACAGATGCTGTCTTGAGGAATGTTCATTGACCAACTGGAGAACTCTCGGTAAAGCGTAAACAGTCAGCACGCTTAAAAATACTTTCTTTTTTTCTTTTTGAGACAGGGTCTCACTCTGTTGCCCAGGCTGGAGTGCAGTGGTATGGTCAGCTCACTACAGCCTCTGCCTCCCAGGGTCAAGCAATCCTCCCACCTTAGCCTTCCAAGTAGCTGAAACCATAGGTGCATGCCACCACGCTTGGCTCATTTTTAAATTTTTTGTAGAGACAGGGTCTCACCATTTTGTCCAGGTTGGTCTTGAACTCCAGGCCTCACGGGATCCTCCCATCTCAGCCTACCAAAGTGCTGAGATTACAGGAGTGAGCCACCACCTTCATCCTTAAAATTACTATTGATATGAACCCTAATAGGACAAAGTGCTTCAATTAACTATTTCTTAGAAATATCCTGAGGTCATATAAAAGTGAAAAAAGAATTTGAAGAAATTCTGGGCCAGGTGCTATGGCTCATGCCTATAATCCCAACACTTTGGAAGGCTGAGGCAGGAGGATCATTTGAGGCCAGGAGTTTGAGATCAGCCTAAGCAACTTGGTGAGACCTCGTTAACTGGGCATGGTGGCACATGCCTATAATCCCAGCTACTTGGGAGGCTGAGGCAAGAGGATAGCTTGGGCCCAGGAGCTCAAGGCTGCAGTGAGTTTTGATCACACCACTGTACTCCAGCTAGGGTGACAGAGCAAGGCCCTGTCTCAAAGAAAAAAAACCCAAAAAACAAAAGACATTACCTACTTAATTTCAGACCAAGTCGCCATTCTTCCCTCCCACACTCTGTAGGACAATTAGAAAAGCTTGACAAAACAACACACACAAATAAATACATACACCGCTCCCCCGCCCCCGCCCCCCCCACACACACACGAACTAACACGGCAGTGAAGAATTACCAGGTCAAAATCTGAAAAAGACCAAAACCTAAAAAGACCAGCCCAGCATCTGGGCCTGCTTTCTGCTTGGGGCATCCATCTGCTGATTGAAGAAAGAATTCCTGGCCGGGCACGGTGGCTCAAGCCTGTAATCCCAGCACTTTGGGAGGCCGAGACGGGCGGATCACAAGGTCAGGAGATCAAGACCATCCTGGCTAACATGGTGAAACCCCGTCTCTACTAAAAAATACAAAATATTGGCCAGCGAGGTGGCGGGCGCCTGTAGTCCCAGCTACTCGGGAGGCTGAGGCAGGAGAACGGCGTAAACCTGGGAGGCGGAGCTTGCAGTGAGCCGAGATCCGGCCACTGCACTCCAGCCTGGGCGACAGAGCGAGACTCCGTCTCAAAAAAAAAAAAGAAAAGAAAGAATTCCTGGCCAGGTGCGGTGGTTCACGCCTATAATCCCAACGCTTTGGGAGGCGCAGGCGGGCGGATCACCTGAGGTCAGGAGCTGGCCAGGAGACCAGCCTGGCCAACATGGGGAAACCCCGTCTCTACTAAAAATACAAAACTTAGCCCTGTGTGGTGGCGGGTGCCTGTAATCCCAGCTACTTGGGAGGCTTATGCAAGACAATCACTTGAACTCAGGAGGCGGAGCTTGCAGTGAGCCGAGATTGAGCTACTGCACTCCAGCCTGGGGGACAGAGCGGGACTCTGTCTCCAAAACACGTAACAAAACAATACAAAGAAAGAAAGGATTCCTGAGTGGCTGAGAAGCTGAGCAGCATTTTTAATGGCCTTGTGGAGCCAGGAGGACAAAAATTGAAGCCCTGGGACTTGCCAGTGAGTTGGCTGCAATTTTACACAACACAGAGTAAGACATAGTATGTTACTACCGATTAAGACAATGGTAAAGGTTTAATAAATAGGAATTAAAAGTTAGAACTGTTTAACACAACAATTCTAAAATAGCAGGCACCTAAAAACAAGTCTCAGAATACATAAAGCAAACAGCTGACATCACTGTAAAGACACACAAACTACAATCATGGTGGAAGAGTTAACACAGTTTTATCAATAACAGAAAAAGCAGAAAAAAAAGTTAGCATACAGCAAACCTGAAAAATGACTCAGAAATTAGAACCTAATTATCATATATAGAACTTTGCCTCCAGGCATGGTGGTTCACACCTGTAATCCCAGCACTTGGGGAGGTCAAGATGGGGCTATCACCTGAGCTCGGGAGTTCAAGACCAGCCTGGCCAACATGGTGAAACCCCATCTCTACTAAAAATACAAAAATTAGCGAGGTGTGATGACGTACGCCTGTAATCTCAGCTACTCAGGAAGCTGAGGCATGATAACCGCTTGAACCCGGGAGGCAGAGGTTGCAGTGAGCTGAGATCGTGCCACTGCCTCCAGCCTGGATGACAGAGTGAGATTCTGTCTCAAGAAAAAAAAAAGAACTTTGCACCCAGTGATCCTTAAATATACATTCTTTCCAAGCCCACATGGAAGAGTTAGAAAAACCGAACACACGCTTTTTACCCGCACAACAGGAAAATGTGCATCCATTGAGGCTAGACAAAGTGAATTGACCTGGCCTCCTGACAAAAGAGGTATGAGCTGATAAGATTGGAAGAGCTGTGGTTTCCATAAGCAAAGGATTCTGGAAAAGATAAGGTTACTGCCCTAGTGTCTTGGAGACTTTGAACTGATGCTTGGCTGGGCCTGAGACGGTGAGAATAAGCAGTAGAGAGAGAAAGGGAGGAGTTCACACAGCCCTCTCTGTCTTTTCTCTGCCCCTGGGAGCTACACGATTACACTGAGCTGTGTGGAAGGGAAAAGGATAATGTGAAATCCCAGCTCTCTGCCAAAACCTGAAGGGAGGCAGCAGTAATAGCAGAGTCTTCCATGCAACCAGGCAGATAATTTAGCTCTTCTATGGCCAAATCCTGCTTCCTTTCCTCCTGCCTTCCCATCTCCTCTTTCTCATCCTGTGTCATCCTGTTCCACCCTAGGAACCTGCATGGGGTTCTAGCGGACCATCTCTGCCATTTCACCATCACAGGGGTTTACATGGGGGCTACACCTGGAAAATGCATGGTCCCTGTCAAATCTGCCTAACTTCCACCTCATTTGTACCCTAACCTTCTGAGAGAATAACTGGACCATAGAAGTTGTTCTTGGTTTGGTCCTCAACTTCAGTGGCCTGGCTATGCTTTTGTTGTGCTCTGGAGGTTTGGATTAAAAATGTGGCTATATAGAGGAAGACTTCTAGGATTTAGAGAACCTGAGCTGAAGTTGGAAGCCTGCAGTGGAGTGGGTACGGACATGACCAGTGCTTTGCAGACAAATAGGCAGTCCTAAGTACTACCCCGCAGCCCTCTAACAGGTTAACGGAACCACGGCCCTAGTCTGACCTAGTTGAAGGAAATATACAATCAGGCTTTCTGGACCTGCTGCAGTCCTGACCTAATTTTCTAAAAGAATCTCAGCAACACCAGAAAGACTCTCCCTCATTTCTCCCCCAACCTGGGAACATTTAGTGCTGAATAGAAACAGACCCTTAATCAGCAGTGCTTCCTTTGAGCTACTGCCAGCCCAACGTCCCAAGTGTCTCCTCGCGAGCCAGCTGTGTTGCTGATCCTTCTGTGCCCAAGTGGCCTGGTCACACCAGCGCCCTTCACATATGCATGAGCTTTCACTCTGGTGTCTGTGCAGGTTTGTGCTCATGTATTCAGCTGGCGGTTTTGAAATCACTCTGTTCAAAATTGTGTCACCCAAGTACTTCCTGAATTTTTACTAGCACTGTTTCAGGAAGTCAAGCATGTTGATGTTTACTCAAAGTGCCTTTTTAATAAGTAACTCACATTGTTTTTCCCCTGCCCTCGTCTGGCAAAAGGCCAGCCAGACTTACCCTCGTACATCTCCAGGATGTGAACTGTGTCGCCAATCTGCAAGGAGAGCTCCACATCTTGAGAAGCATTGTAGTTATAGATCGCTGGAAATGAGAAATAAAAAAGGCAAATTAGAATGCATGTCACTTGGCCAGGCGCAGTGGCTCACGCCTATAATCTCAGCATTTTGGGAGGGCGAGGTGGGTGGATCACGAGGTCAGGAGTTCAAGACCAGCCTGGCCAAGATGGTGAAACCCCATCTCTACTAAAAATACAAAAATCAGCTGGGCGTGGTGGCAGACGCCTATAATCCCAGCTACTTGGGAGGCTGAGGCAGGAGAATTGCTTGAACCTGGGTAGCAGAGATTGCAGGGAGCCGAGATCACGCCACTGCACTCCAGCCTGGGCGATAAAATGAGACTCCATCTCGGGGAAAAAAAAAAAAAGAATACATGTCACTAAAGATACATGCAGGGGTTAGTGAACAATTCGGTCAACAAACAACTCTCTATTTAATAATTTCATGTGAATTAACCATTGTAAAGCAGAGAATGGATCCTCATTTCCCCCATCCAACAAATATTGATCAATTGCCTGCTACATATCACGAACTGTGTTAGAGACCAGTGATAGAGGGGCATATCACATCAACATGGCCCCGTCCCCAAGGAACTTAACAGTCTAGTGGAAGGAAGAAAGATATCAAATATATAATCACAGAAATAACTAGTTAAAGTTGTGATAAGTGTTAGGAAAGAAACAATCAGGTTACAATGAGAATACATTGTGGGATTCTGTTGGTCAGTGCCCTTGTTCATCAGACAACAGCCAGCCTGCAAGAACACGGAACTAATGATCTCCAGGACACAGGCAAGCCATGTCCCGGCTTCCATAACACAGTATCTGATGGCAAAAGGCCACCTGTGAGGCCCATCCACCCTCCAGTGACAAACTGACACAGGGCACGGTGCAGGGACGGTGCCTGGCCCCAGCCCAAGGCACCCTGGGCAACTGGGTTTACCGCAGCACTTCCTAGTCAAGGTGACCTCAGCCACCACAGTCCTTAGAACTGGCAATGGCTGCGCCAGGTTGTGAAAAACGACAGACTAACTCATAACTCAAAAAAAGAAGACAACCCAATTTTAAGACAGGCCAGAGCTTTGAACAGATATTCTGCCAAAAAGTATGTATGAATAGCTAACAGGCACATGAAGAGATGTTCGACACTATTAGTCATGGGGAAATACCAATTAAAACCACAGTGAAATACCACTCCACACCCACTAGAATGACTGTGATCAAGAAAAAAGAAAAGGCAGACAAATGGCAAGAATGTGGAGAAACTAGAACTCTCCTGCATTGCTGGTAGGAATGTAAAATGGTACAGCCCCTTCTGAAAACAGTTGGACAACTTCTCAAAAGTTAAACATAAATTTACCATAGGTCCTAGCAATCCATTCCTAGGTACCTACAAAGACAAATGAAGCCATGTGTCTACATAAGAACCTCATGTGAATGTTCAGAGCTGTGGTGGTGGGCTGTAAAGGTGCCCCCCGCAAAATAAATCCACATCAAATCCCTGGAACCTGTGTATGTTACCCTGTAAGGCAAAAGAGTTGATTAAGTTAAGGATTTTTTTTTTTTTTAATTATACTTTAAGCTCTGGGATACACGTGCAGAACGTGCAGGTTTGTTACGTAGGTATACACGTGCCATGATGGTTTGCTGAACCTATCAACCCATCATCTACATTAGGTATTTGTCCTAATGCTATCCCTCCCCTAGGCCCCCAACCCCTGACAGGCCCCAGTGTGTGATGTTCCCCTCCCTGTGTCCCTGTGTTCTCATTGTTCAATTCCCACTTATGAGTGAGAACATGTGGTGTTTGATTTTCTGTTCCTGTGTTACTTTGCTGAGAATGATGGTTTCCAGCTTCATCCATGTCCCTGCAAAGGACATGAACTCATCCTTTTTTATGGCTGCATAGTGTTCCATGGTGTATATGTGTTACATCTTCTTTATTCAGTCTATCATTGATGGGCATTTGGGTTGGTTCCAAGTCTTTGCTATTGTGAATAGTGCTGCAATAAACATACATGTGCATGTGTCTTTATAGTAGCATGATTTATAATCCTTTGGGTATATACCCAATAATGGGATTGCTGGATCAAATGGTATTTCTGGTTCTAGATCCTTGAGGAATCGCCACACTGTCTTCCACAATAGTTGAACTAATTTACACTCCCACCAACAGTGTAAAAACATTTCTATTTCTCCACATCCTCTCCAGCATCTGTTGTTTCCTGACTTTTTTTTTTTTTTTTTTTGAGACAGAGTCTCTCTCTGTTGCCCAGGCTGGAGTGCAGTGGCACAATCTCGGCTCACTGCAACCCCCACCTCCCGGGTTCACACCATTCTCCTGCCTCAGCCTCCCCAGTAGCTGGTACTACAGGTGCCCACCACCACGCCTGGCTAATTTTTTTTTGTATTTTTAGTAGAGATGGGGGTCTCACGGTGTTAGCTAGGATGGTCTCGATCTCCTGACCTCGTGATCCACCTCAGCCTCCCAAAGTGCTGCGATTACAGGTGTGAGCCACCACACCTGGCCTCCTGATTTTTTAATGATCATCATTCTAACTGGTGTGAGATGGTATCTCACTGTGGTTTTTATTTGCATTTTTCTAATGGCCAGTGACAAGAATTTTGAGAGGAGTTGTCTTCCCTGAATTATCACGGTGGCCTTAAAAAATGCAATCACATATATCTTTACAAGAGAGAAAGAGAGAGAGCTGAGAGGACACACTGGAGAGAAGCTGACATGTAGATGGAGGTTGAGATTGAACTGACGTGACCGCAAGTCAGCAAAGGCCAGCATCCACCAGAAGCTGGAAGAAGCAAGGAATGGAATCTCCCTGAGGGTCTCCAGAGGGAGCACAGCCCTGTTTGTACCTTGACTCCCTAACTCCCATCTCCAGAACTGTGAGAGAATAAACCCCTACTGTCTTAAGACATCAAGTGTATAATTTGTCACAGCAGCCACTGAAATCTAGTACAGTAGGATTATTCACAATAGCCCAAAAAAATGGAAATAATGTATTAACTGATGGAAGGATACATGAAGTATGGTATATCCATGCAATGGAATACTATGCAGCAATGAAAAGAAATGGAATATAGATACATACTACAATGTGAATGAACCTCAAAACATTACACTAAAGGAAAGCAGCCAGATGCAAAAGACCACGTAGTTTATGATACCATTTATTCAAAATGTCTAGAATTAAGCAAATCTATGAAAGGCAGTATAGGAGATTATTGGTTGCCTGGGGCTGTGAGGAGGGAATGGTGATTGACCACAAAAGGCCCTAAGGAGCTTCTTGGGGAGGTGAAAACATCCTAAAACTGGGTTGTGGTGATATTTACACAACTCTGTAAATTTACTAAAAATCATTAAATTATATGCTTAAAATGGGTGGATTTTATGGTATGTAAATTACACTTGACGGAAGCTGGATGTTTTTTTAAGTAGATTTACTTCTTACTCTCACTCTACTGATGAGGGAACTACATCTTTCCAGGAAAAAAGAACCCCCTTAGAGATTCAGCTCTAGCCATGGTCTTGACAATTCAACGAACCCATAAGGCTCCCATCTCTGCAGGCCTGATGAGTGACCATCCACACTGATGAATGGATAGTCACTCAATCCATCAGTATATCCCACAGGGAAGAAAGGTGTCCCTGACATTGCCCGTGGCGGGTCTTCCCGGCTCTTCCCAGCTCTTCCCTGAGCCTGCAGTGCACCGTGCACCTGCAGCTTGGCTGATATCACAGTCAACTTATCAGTGAGCAGGGAGGAGCACATGTCCAGCCACCCGTCTTCCAGTGGCCTCTCTTTGACGAAGGAAGTCATCCAAGTAGAGCTCTCCTGCACTCCTGGCACAGAAGCCTGGACAAAGTATGTTGGAATTTATTTTACTATTGAGCTTATGGACTAGGCTATGAATTCACAACCAGGATTGGCTGGTGACACAGGTTAGGAGAAATCACACGCGATTCAGAAGTAGGAGTAATTCTCAATTCCTAGACCTGCTCATAGATCACTGGGCCACCACTGCCATTCCACTAGAGTTCAACTCCTTCATTGGTCTGCTGGTTTACACGCATGCTCTGCCTGCTAGTCTGGTAGACCTCACATCCTTGATATCTCCTAGTCCCTATTCATGGCCTTGCACTGAAACGGCCCCTTCCATTGGCCCCCTTCTCAAATGAAAACAGGAAGTAGTGAGGTCACTGAGTCACAATGCATTGTGTAATGACCAAGCTTCACCTCTTCCTGGTTCTGGTCATTAGAAAAGTAAGCAGAAGCTCTCAAAGGCAGTACCTTGCTCTGGAAGCTCTAAACACAAACACCTACCAAGGACTGCTGGAAACACACACACACACACACACACACACACACACACCCCAAAGACCGATTTGTTTGCTTAAAACCTAGATCTCTAAGCCTGACTCAAAACACCTCCAAAATTGTCCCAGCCCGTAATTATCCATCTTTGTCTCCATCTGCGAAATTCCAACCTACTCTCCAGTGAAGACTCACATGTTCTCCCCTAAATTCTGAGCTCAGTCCATGGTTTGTGTCTGCCTAGAACAAGGGCCTGTCTTGACTTCTTAACAATCCAAATTTCACATCCACAATTAAATTCAACAAATGGCTACTAGCTCCTGATTACCTGTGTGGATCTCCTTCTTCCCTGACATTCCACAACAATTTTCCCTTCCAGCGCAGTTTGGGTTTTTAATCACAGACAATCTTGTGTAATTGTCTACCATCGATTAGAAGGAAACCCCTATGATTGCGGCTGTCATTACACATTACTTTTGTGTCTTTCTCATTACAAGGCACAGGCTTAGTCCCAGAGAAAGTACTCAAGGTATAATAATGACTTCAGAAAAGAATATATTTAAAAAGCACATATTTTTATTCTTTCTATAAAATCCATCAAACAGTTCAGTTATTCACCACTTCTTCCCCAAACTCAAACACACTTCTGCTTTCTTCCAGAGCAGAAGTTGTGGTTTCCCATCACTCAA